TTAAGCTAGTTAGTCAAGGAAACCAAAATATATTAACTAGTCACCTGAGCAAACAAAGACAAAAACACGGAAACGCAATATCTGGAAATTTAGGAGAACTAGCGTAACAAACAAATATAAAAAGTAAGAAGTGAAATTAACAGGTTTGGCAGAAATACTAGACTCAACAGGAATGTTATCCTGGACAAGATCACAGAGTTGGGCAAGAATACAGAGAGAACACAGATAATGAAAAACATGAAAGATCTACTTTAATTTGCAATCTGAAGCTGATTCAGACCCTATTCTGCATTAAAGACTTCATATCATATTTCTCCTTTTTACTCTCTTCATTAAAACAAAATATATCCACCAACAAATTACTCTTTGAGGACCCTCGTACTTCAAGATCTGTTACCTAGAATACATGAAAACATCAACATAGAACACATGAATGCATCAACAATTTTTACATCTTTTAAATCAAAACCAATAATATTTTGCAATCCCTTTATTTCCTAATACTTGAATTTGGATAGTATAAAGACTGTTTAAACAACTATGTTTCTTGTCCCAGACTTACTGTTTGTTCTTGGATCCTATGCAGGAAAAAAGCTTCTTGGCTTGAAGGATGGAAACATAGCAATGATCTCCATGAACAGCCCGTGATTTTGTACCTGTATTTGAAGTGTAAACATATTACTGCACAGTACAGTTTATAATTAGCATGATCAAAAGCTATTCAGAGAGGAATGGTGTACAGCAAACCTGCAGCAGCACGGATGTGAAACATAAGCTGTTAGAAAAAAAAAAGGTGTATTCTACGAATTACATAAAAATGGATCTAACTCTTACAGGATTATTCACTAAACATCGGATTTTGTAAAAATAATTTGGTGAAAATGACAGAATACCGACTGTATTCTTTGGATTTACTAAAGTCAGTAAATTGGCAGGTCAAATGCAGTCAGGATTCAGTCAGTTCGACTGATTCTGTAACATTCAGAAAGTCACTAGTATCCACATGTGAACCAATTGATAGCACAGGAATCAGAGATTTATCAACAACCGCATGGCAATCGAAGATAAACCAAAAACATGCGACAGAATGCACATTCGCAAATTATCATTCACTTGCTTTTTGCAAGTGAATAATAATTTGAAGTGCTATTTGTCTTCTGGAAGTGCTAGCTGATAGTGGGCAAAAAGTTAAAAACCTTTGGCGGCGAAAGGGCTCATTATGTGGCAGCTGGCCACTCATGGGTGGCAGCCTGAATATTAATACTTAAGGGGGGGGGACCTTTTGTCACCTCTCCTGACCCCCACCCATGGGTGACAGGTGGAGGTCCTAATATTAATAACAAAGGGGTAAAAAAATTCCCGGGCCCCACCCATGCATGGTGAATGGGGCCCTATTTTAATAGGTGGAAAAAATAGGGGAGGAGGAGTCTGCGCTAGATAGCAAAGATAGGAGCTGCAACCCTCTAAAGGGAATCCCTCAAGAACCCTAATAAAATGTAGAAAGAAAAAAGAGGGGTAAAGGGCTGCGCTGGATACAAGTAAATAAAATATAAACAAAATATACAAGTGTAAAATAATGATAGGATAAAAATATGCAGTAAAAAATACAATAAAAAGGTAAAACAAAGTCCGTGCACTAGTAATAATAAAACTTAAAAAGTCCAATAACATGTATAAAAGAAGTCTCACTGATATGTGGATAAGCTGTGTATGTACAGTCCTCAAAGATTAATCCTTCCGAATTTCCAGGGAATCCGTATATGAAAGATAAAAACATAAACAAACTTCCAATGGTATAGTATGTACTGAGAGGATTAGCGAAATGAAATAAAATGGAGGATAATACACTCACATTTGTTGGAGCTTAGGACCAGCTCTTAGTTGTAAGGCACTTAGCGGTATAATCCCCGCTAATGGATATTCTGTGAAGATAGGTCACTCCTTCCGGAATGGTAGAGCAGGGGGTACTGCTCTATTTATAATGCGCCGGTGGAATAATCCCCACCTGTGGATTGCTTTAAGCAGGAACAGTTAGATGCCAGGAGAAAATAAAAATTGTGTTTATACAATAAAACAAAAATGGTCCTATAAATAAGGGTACCAAATAAAAGTTTTTATTGTTAAAATACACAGTAAAAAAAACATTTTTTTTTACTGTGTATTTTAACAATAAAAACATGTTGAAATGTTTCCCCTGCTCTACCAAGTACTGAAAATTTAGATGTATCTGGGCTATTCAACTATTCATCTCAAAAACTCCCAAAAATCTGATAATAAGCTGGTTTACACAATTTGTGCATACATGTAATATGTTATTGCTAATTTCTGTAAATAACTCCTTTTCACTGGGTTTTAAAAAAATGGCACATGATCTTGACAAAAAAAAAAGTAATTACATTTCTACACAATTCCATTCAATCTTTTTTCATTGGCCCCATACTCATGATGATGACCTTAACTGCCTTTCTACAAAATTCAATGCTAGATATAGCCTTACTTTATAACCTGGTCAATTTAAGCTTGGTTGTGGTGGAATTAATGGTGTGATACCGGCACTAACTTTGCCCTCGAGGTCTTTTTTGATCATTTCTCTTTATGGAATGTCCTTTACGATGATCAACTATCCCTGTGCCAGATGCACTTATTCAGCTCATTTGTTACACTATAGTAAGTTTTCTGATATATTATGCAGTGTGTTTATGTTAGCGAGAATACAATTTTCTTTTGATTTTCTTTATTTTCCTTAATTATTTTTATAATATGTAACATTTGAGAAAAATAAACTATAAAATCTCAGAGAACATATAAACATATAAAAAATGTAACTATAACCTATCTACTTTTGCAATGTATTTGTATTTCTTTGTTTTATGTATAATCTTGTATAATGTGTTTGTAATGTACATTGCTTATACTCTTTCATGGCAGTTCCCCAAAGATTCTTCTTCATGGCCCTGAGGTAACTAAAAGGACTTGCAAATATTGGCATGTGGATTGCCTTTCACCCAGAAACAAAAAGTTTAACTTACACCAGCTTAAACATCACGAGTCTCTGGGTAAAAAAAAATGGTAGCTTAATCTAATGTGAACTATCAAAATGGACCATATGGTCCTAAAGCTACAATCGGGATGTAAAGGCAGTACCTTGCTAAGGGGCCCGGTGCAGCTTAGGGGTATGCAGTGGTCTGGATGATTTTTTTTTCTCCCATAAGCGGACTGCATTAGCCAGTAGTATTAGAGTGGGTCCTTGATCAAACGAGACCAGAGCCTGCACATGTTGCTCTCTCAATCTCTCACCCTACACTGCCATGCACTGAATCACAAGCTGTCACAGAAAGCATTTGAGGTTGAACTGCCTAGGGTGAGTAAAGGGTAGGCATAGAAGAAGGTGATATTGATGGTTGGTTAATGTGGAGGGGAGAGTGTGTGGCTCTGTGTGTCTAACAGTGTGTGTGAGTGCATTTGACTGTGTGTGTGTGTGCATCTGACTGTGTTTTTTTTAATAGTGTGCATGCACATTTCTATGTATGCTCGACTGTGATAATGTCTGACATTGCACATCAGTACATGTGTGTCTAACAGCGGAAATCTTTCTGTATGTGTCTGACAAAATGTGTGCGTCCTATGTATGTATGTGGACGAGTGTGTGTGTTTAACAATTTCTATGTGTGTCTGTGTGTGTCAAAGAGTATGCATGTAAATTGGGGGCCCAGGCAATTTTTTTTAAGGGGCCCGAGATTTCTGATGGAAACCCTGTATGGTCCATTAAGAAGAGACTACAGGGGAACTGGACAAGATTTTTGAACACTTGTGGCAGAGTGGCACAACTAGCTTAACTGAAGCTTCTAGATGTGACACCCAGACTATTCCTAAGTTTTATGAGCTACAGAAGGCATAGTAATGCAAGTCATCACTTAAAGTTGCCCAATACAACACTCAATCTACCAGCAGTCACTCAACATGACCATAACACAGAGCTTCCAATTGGCACTTTCTTTTCCAAAAACATAATTTTGCAAATGACTTAGGCTAGGCCTGTTTAGCAGAATTTAGTTTGAGCTTCACTGCTCCTTACAGTTTAGCTCCTTACAGTTTAGATGTGAGACTGGGCACTCCTAATAAAAATATTTTCCTATCTGATTTAAACATACTTCTTTAATGCTGCTTTATGTCTGCACCAATATATTAAAAAAAATCTGAAAAAAAAAGACCATTTTAAAAGGTTATTGTGTCACATATCCACTGCTATTTTGGTTGTGATTATATAGAAAACTATTTTATAATTTATAAAATCAAAATCAACATTTCAAAACATTACCGTATTCCTTCAGTATGGTTTAATGTTTCAGTAAATTGTACAGAGTTGTATTCATTTAATTACATGATGCGCTCACAGTCTCCATGCCAAAACACACACACAGCAAATACAATAATACAATATGTCTGGGACACTTGCAAGCTAAATCCAAGAAGCCCTAAAAAAATGTTTTAAAAATTGGGACTTCGGTAGAAATAGGTGTATGTTTAAAAAAAAAAAAACTAGGAAGAAGACACACGTAGTAAAAATAATGGAAATAGTTTTACAATCATCACAAATAAAATACATAAAAGCAGTTAGATTTTAAATATGTTATCCCCAGCTTTCCTCCTTTAAAGGGTCACTATAGGGTCAGGAACACAAACATGTATTCCTGACCCTATAGTGTTAAAACCACCATCTAGCCCCCCTGGGCCCCTCATGTCTCCATAAATATAGCAACATCTTACTGTATTCCATGCAGAAGCTGTAGATCTGCATGCTGTTTGCCAAAAAAAAAACAAGCAGTTTGCTGACATCATCAGAAGTGGTAGCCTGATCCAATCCAGTGCTTCCCCATAGGATTGGCTGAAACTGACAAAAAGGCAGATCAGGGGCAGAGCCAGCATGATTCAAACACAGCCCTCACCAATCAGCATCTCCTCATAGAGATGAATTGAATCAATGAATCTCTATGAGGAAAGTTCAGTGTCTGCATGCAGAGGGAGGAGATACTGAATGTTTTGATGCATTTTAGGCAACCATGACCCAGGAACTCTAACAGCCATCTGAGGAGTGGCCAGTGAAGTTATCACTAGGCTGTAATGTAAACACTGTATTTTTTTTCTGAAAAGACAGTGTTTACAGCAAAAAGCCTGAAGGTGATGATTCTACTCACCAGAACAAATTAAATAAGCTGTAGTTGTTCTGGTGACTACAGTGTCCCTTTAACATGATTGAGAATATAGTTGACACTGGCTTCTCCTGTAAATAAGTATTCTTTTTACAAGAATTATAAAAAAAAAATGGCTACATTAAATGTTTCATTTTTAAACAATGTAACAGCATTTAAATAAACAACACACTGTTTCCAAAAATTAATTTATGTTAAATATATGACTGTTAAAATCGTCAGATAAAGGATAAAGTTTGTACTTATGCAAAGCTCACATGTGAAATAATTTCAGTTATGTGGTTAATGACCTATAATTGATACAAGACTTTACAAACGTTAAGTGTTACCTGCGATGACTAACCCTTCTATTCCAAGCCCATGTATAAAGGGGCTAGTTTTAGTTTGGCATTTCAAAGCAGCAAAACATTTTAAATAGGTAATAAATCTTAACCTACCTTCTCTATCAACCACATTCATCCAGGCGCAACTTTGCACAGAGACTGCAAAATGCCACCTCCTCGACCCACGCTATACAGATGCCTTTTCAAGTCAAAGTAAATTCTTGCAGTGAGAGGGAAGGTGAGGGCAGAACAGGTTTGTACAAATACCCATACAGAGGCTATCAGATTGTATTTAGGTGTTTTTGTCACACTTTTGTTATTGTTATGTATTCTTTTTGAAATATTGGCAGTTAAGCTATACCATAAATAGTTAAAACCTTTTAGCCGCTGAAGATTTGCTTAAATGATGAATTAAAAAAGTACTAAAAAATATAACTTTTTTTTGTATCACTGAACATCAATATTTATATAAAATGATAGTTTTGTATTACTGTATCTGACTATGCATTATGTTTTTTAAATAAGCGTTAAAGTATTTTTCCAACTAAAATAACTTGGTAAGGAAAAACCACCAGTTAAACAAATTCCTTTTTTTAACAAGCTCATTTAAGAAACCCTTTAAGATTGAAGAACTCTCTCATTGATGAGAGTATAACTAGATTTATATGAATTTGGCAATAATTCACTAAAGAAACCTATCCAATATGCACTGCAAATGTTATTATACAGTTATACATATGGACTTCCACAGGTTGTAGTGATTCACAGGTGGCTAGTATAAAAGTCAAACATAATTTAATTACAAGAATAATAGGCGTTAAATTCTTACCATGTTAACTCAATCAAGCATTTATAATGATCATTGTGAAATCAAATAAAAAATTCTAAATATGAACATTCAATATAGACCTTGACATTTTTTGCAAAACAGCAGACAAGAGATACAATAAAATTGATTTTATTCATACATTACTCTTATCATAAAAAAAAAAAAAAAAACCACAGGGGCTTTTGATATTTTTGGGGGTATTATTGAATTTAAACTTAATGTAACAATGGTATTTCAGGTCCTTTCATTAAAGGTATTCAACACTAATTGAATACCTTACATAATAAAATGGCAAATTGGACACACTACTAATAAAACAGACACCGAAAAGGTGAGCAAGTCAAGGATGCCAATTACTACCATCCTTATTCATCCTCTGTATGGTAATGTTAGTCATAGTTATTCAATGGAATAATACAACTCATGGATTTGGAGAACATGAATATAAATTAAGTGTCTAAGTAGATGATATTCTTTTTTCTGTTATTGCTCACTATTAGTTCTTGAAACCTTAAAAGAAGTAAATGTCTTCAAAACTATGGTGGTATAATGTATTAATCATCTTTTTCTTTTAAATTAAAAAGGCAGATAGTTTCCAAATGGTTAATCACTAGCATTTCATGTTTAGAAACACAACTTTCAATGATTAAAGATGTTTATTTAAATAAAATTATATTCCTATTTTTATTTTTATTTTCAAAACGTAGCTCAACTTGAATTAAATTTTACATTTCCAGAATTGGTTGAAATAATTAATGACATTTATAAAACTTAAAATAAATTAGGACCAGGCACTAAGGATTGCTGCAGGAAGGCAGGTTTATTGGAAGAAAAGGTGCAACATTTTGGCCTACACAGAGGCCTTTATCAATCTACTACTTCAGTGCCACAGTACACTATTTAAAGGGTATCAACCATAACCACAATTAACAAATGATAAGCAAAATTCATAAATTAAATAAAAAAAGTCAGTCAATTATACATCAAATTCATAAATATACATATTCCAGGCAGTGGCGTACACACAATCCATGGGGCCCCGGAGCAAAACCCCCCCTCCCTCCACTCTCTCCCCTGATCCGTGCTCCCCTCTCTCCCCCGATCCATTCCCCCACCATCCCCCTGACACATACATACATACAGACACACACACAAACATACACACAGACAGACACACACACATCCCTCGACAGACACATACATACAGACACACACATATATACACACAGACACATACATACAGAGACACAGGCACACACACACATACAGAGACACACACACATACATAAACAGACACACATACATAGACACAGACACATACATATGGGGCCCCATGGATTGTGTGTACGCCACTGCATACAGAGACACACACACATACAGAGACACACACACATACATACAGAGACACACACATACAGAGAGACACAGACACACATACAGAGAGACACACATACAGAGACACAGACACACACATACATACATACAGAGACACAGACACACACAAGGAGACACAGACACACACATACAGAGACAAACACACAGAGAGACACAGACACACACACATACAGAGACACACATACACATACAGAGACACAGACACACATACATACAGAGACACACACACACATACACATACAGAGACACAGACACACATACAGAGAAACACACATACACAAAATGTTTCCTACCTTGTTACTTTCCCTGGGGTCCAGTGGGGGCTCAGCCTGATGGGAGTCAGAGTTTACACTCTGACTCCCTACTCCTCCTCCTTCCTTCCGCACGGGCTCTGATAGCTGGGAGGAGTGACGTGCAGTCCCTTCCTCCCAGCTCTGGTGTAATCACAGGGGGCCCCTTATAATCCATATCCATCGGGTGGCCCTGACAGCATGGGTCACCCGATGGACCCCTCCATATGCGGCCGGGCCGCAAAATGTGGCAGCATGCCTGGTACCCGGTTGCAGGGGCCGCAGGGTGGCCGGGCCCCCTGGAGTGCCGGGCCCGGTCGCAGCTGCGACCCCTGCGACCGCGGTATGTACGCCGCTGATTCCAGGGCTAAAACAGTGCATTTATAATTATTAAATTCCTAATAAATTAAAAAGTTCATCCATGAGAAAAGAAGAAGAGAAGGAAAAAAAAAAAATAAGCGAATGGGACATTCGGAATAAAGTAAATTCAAATTAAAAAACAAGAAAGTAATACTCAAATTAAGAAGAAAAGGAACTAGAACAGTAAATAGAGAAAAAAAAACAACAATGTATGATCACATATAAAGGAATGAAAAAATATACAATGGATGGTGGTATATAAGAAAATATGGGTATATAAGACTAATGTATACATACAGTATCTCACAAAAGTGAATACACCCCTCATATTTTTGTAAATATTTTATTATATTTTTTCATGTGTCATGTGAAGAAATGACACTGCTACAATGTAAAGTAGTAAGTGTACAGCCTATATAACAGTGTAAATTTGCTGTCCCCTCAAAATAACTCAACACACAGCCATTAATGTCTAAACCATTGGCAACAAAAGTGAGTTAACCCTTAAGTGGAAATGTCAAAATGGGCCCAATTAGCAATTTTCCCTCCCCAATGGCATGTGACTTGTTAGTTACTTGTTTGTTACATTGCAACTCTAAGTCTGCCCCCTGTGGCTGTCTAACAGACAGTCACTGGTGGCACTTCTGGAATCCAAATGGACTTTTGGTCCGTTATCTGACGCTGGACATCTTCATGGACCTCCAGCATCAGATTTTCCCCATAGGAAAGCATTGCGACTTAGGTCTCCCCCGCCGGCTGATGTCAATGGGGAAGGAGCGTGAGCGGAGCCTTACCCAGCACTAAGGGACATCGGCGCTGGATTCTGGTAAGTGGCTGAAGGGGTTTTAACCCCTTCAGCACAAAGGGGGGGAGGGGGTGGTACGAGGGAGAGGGGCACCCCAGGAGAGTATAGTGCCAGGAATAGGATCCCTTTAAGGAATAGGATCCCTTTAAGGAATCTAAGGCATTGTTCTTATATTCCCTTGTAGAACATTACAACAGTGTACATATTGAAAAGAATCTACAAAAGGAGACATTAGTTATTATAATCCAGCAGATAGAACAAGCAAGCATAAAATGTATATGAATTCATATATACATATAAATGCCTATCAGTACCAAAATTAACTCTGTTATGGTTATTCATTAAACCCTGAATTACAGTGATTTGAAATTTGAATGGGGAAACGTAGGCAAAAAGTGCTAAAGTGGAAAACTTTTTCAGTTCAACTTTGTCATGTATTTTTATATATTGATTAGTTTCATACTTTAGGAAATATTATTCTTTAGTACATCCTCTGTTCTAAGAAAATTACTGTTTTAGTTAATTATAGAAAATTAATGACAGAAATCAAAAAACACTTGCAAGTGTTTATTCACTCTTCTTTAGATTATTGAAAGAAAAAAAAAACCCTTAGGATATCTGATTCACTTTTATTTGACCATTTTATTTTACAGTTTATTTAAAGAAACTAAGACAACAACTAAATTAACTTTTAAATGTATCTGCTGAAGCCCCTTCACTAAAAGTGATTTTCATTAATAGAAAATATACAACACTTTATTGATTCATGATATGCATAGCGAGAGTAAGCAATCGGGACTTAACAGATATATATATATTGTTCATAGACTGCTGTATAAGAATACCTAAAATATTAAATGATGTTCCATGGGGATCCTGACTGTCATCTTGACATGTCACATCAATATGGATTACACTTGTGCATTTGTTTTCTTCCTAATTGCAGTTCGCCCAGATTATGGGCAATCAGCAAGTTGTCCGTATTCTGTAACTCTGCTCTGCCGTACAACCTCACTACAAAACAA